GAGAAGCAGCTTTATTATGCAAAGTGAAGGTTGGATGTTATTATAGGAGGGGAGTCTGCACCGGCTTTATATAACGAGCTATGGAGTACACGCCTCTCCAGGTCGGTCATGAGACCTAAAGCTAATGTTTAGCTTGTTTGTAGGCAGAGGAATAATTACTGTTGCCTTTGATTAAGTTACTTTGCTGCATATGCACCTGAAATCCCTCACATTTTTTTTCCACACCACCACGGAGATACAGAAATGTTTATTGTTTTGCCTCAATATATCCTAAAGACACTACATTTCAGGCTCTCAGTGTGTTTATGCTAATTGGGGTTTGTTGTGGCCATGTAATATTCCCATAATATTCCTGGATACTATGTATAGTTGGATTTATGTTGGTGTCAATAATAAGAAAGGCAATGGGCATGTGTAGCTGGGGCTGATGTCCCAAATATAACAATGATCTAATGTGTTAAAGTGACCACATGTGATGATCTTTTTTTATTTATTTCAATAACATGGCCTCCACTATGGTGCCACCTACTGGCCAAACCTAGTATTAAAAATAACATGTACTATTTTTGTGTGAAATGTTATTGCAATTATTGAGGCTATAGACTTGTTTAAATGGATGTGTATTTTTTGTTGTTGAAAGAATTCCCTCAACAGAAACATATGCTACAATATGATCACACTGAACGCAAGTTGCATGGCACATTAAGCAAGGGTAGCTAAGCAGAGCGTGAAGTACCTGTCTCAAAGTGTGTTACTGAACAACCTGTCATCCCCCATTTTCCTCTTACTTTACTGGGAAACTCCACTGGACTTCAGCGTCAGCAGAACAGACTCTTTTCTAGACTGCTACACTGCCTCCAAATCTGCTGATGAGTTCCTCTTCATTACTCATTTATTCAGTGCCTGTTGGATGAACCGGTGCACAAGAGTGCTACCTGTGTGGAATATTTTGACCTCTCCAAAGCATGTGACAAGTGCAAATGGAAGTGACGCACAACAGTGCTGAAAAGAAATGTGAAGGTGGCGAAAGCGGTCACTTTTTACCTGCATCACATCCAATTTTATGTGCTTAGCATGCTATGAAAGAGCCATTCTGCATACTTTTCCTTTTGATACTTGAAGTACTTTTAGCTGAAAATACTTCTGCACATCCTGTTTCTGAAATGGGCCATTGTGCAGAATGAGTACTTTAACTTTTTCTACTTCAAATACATTTTGATGCTGATACTTTTGTACTTTTATTTAAGTACAATTTTTAATTCAGGACATTTATCTGTCATGGAGTATTTTAAGAAATACTATTATTATTTCTACTTTGACTTAAGTACAGGATCTGAGTACTTTATCCACCTCTGCATATATGTAACACCATTCACATGTAACACATCAAGATCATTTATAGAGCATTGCATCTTTTCTATATTGGACTGTTGGCCTCTTTGGTTGCTTTAAATAAATTATAATAAATGAAGTATATTTATAATGTCCCATGGGGCTCCATTTGACTTTTAAATGAAGTAAAAACTGATACTTATCAAAGACCAAATAAGATTTGAAGGCATCAGATACAGAAATTGTGATTTTAAAAGTGTTTACAAATAGAGGGCTAACTTGTAAATGCATAGTCACTGATACCATGCAATGTAGAGATTTTACAGCAGATTATTTGAGCTGCTTTTCCAAGTGATTTCCTTTTCCTTTCTTAAGTGTTTTCTTAAGTGTTTGGAGGTTTTTCCACTGAGAGCCCTTATATAGCCCGTATAAACATTTTTATAGATAGTGGAGCCTACGCCTAAGCCTACGCAAGCGTAGGCTCCACGAGGACGAAAACGGGTTGAATCCGCATATTTCTCATGCGTATAGCCCTTTAAACTCGACGACGCCGTAACAGAAACGTAGAAACAGACCCCGCAAACGACAACGGGTCCAAAGGTGGATAGATCTGGGAACGGAGCGCTCTGGGGGGTCCAACGGGGCCGTGGGGTCGCCTATACGGTCATGCGTTTCATAGCCCCGCCTCTCCCCACCTCTGCTGCTCACCCCCGCAAAAGTAAACTGCACACTGAATTCAGATTATTTATCTTTATCTCGATATGAACATAAACGCGAGTGAAGTCTAATCTGACAGGACGGAGACACGCAGCTCCTCCGGCAGCGGGAGCAAAACACACACTTCAAGTCAGATCACCACCCTTAGCTATTTTAATTACCTCTCAAACTACCTAAACTAGTTATAAATATGTTTATTTTTACTGTCGGGTTTACTTACTGGATCAGCTGCTGCATGAGGAAGCATGAAGATTTAAACTTTAACACACATTGACCGGCGAAAAACTCTGCGCGGTTCCCTCCGCCCCCACCGCGGAGAATAAACAGAAGTGCAGCCATGACAACCATTCTTCTTCGCTGCTTTTGTGGAGGAAGTTGCTGCTTTTGTGGAGGAAGTTACAGCGCCACGTACAGGTTCGGCATATGTACTGCAGCTTTTCCAGCGGTTGGATGTAAACGGAGCCTCTCGTGGAGCTTGACACAATCCGGTGTATATTGCGTGTGGTCGGAAGGTTTTTTGCGGTTGCGTTTGCGTTACTCCGATGCGTTTTGCCGTATTTGTCCTCATGGAGCCGGGGCCTCAACAGGCCATTTGAGTTACTTTGTCACACCAGCTTGGGAGAACACCCACCAAACAATAATTTACATACAATTAACTCATACTTGTATCCATGATCATTTAAATACAAAGAAGTTGAACAAGAACTAGAAAATGAATCATGCTTCTTCACAACAGAGACACAGTCATTCCAAGCAATCATGTTCTCATGAGATTAGAGCTGCAATTTAAATTATTTACAAAATGCTTTATAGTGTGTTGACAGTGATTTAACTTTGACAGACTATACAAAGGAAAATAACTTTCCCAGAGGGTTTGGCCATCTTTCTGTACCACTGGCGTTTTTAATTACTACTGCCTCAGTAAAATTGACTTAAATGTTGTTTTCTGTCTTGTTTGAGGTATTCAGAATTGCTATTATCTTTTATTGTCGACTCAGACAACAATGTGCACTTGTTTTGCAGCAGCTTGAGAAGAGTTTTCTCTTTACATTCTCATGGCCAGTTGTTCTTTATCACTTAAAGGGGCCCTATTATGCTCATTTTCAGGTTACATCATTGTATTTTGTGCATCTACTGTGACATGCTTTACAGTAAAGAAAAAAAAGGTATTTATTTTTTACATACTGCCAATGCTGCAGCTCCTCTTTTCACCCTCTGTCTGAAACCAGAGCCTAGTCTGCTCTGATTGGTTAGCTGTCCGGCTCTGTTGTGATTGGTCAACTGCTTAGAGATGTCCCGCCCCTTAGCTTATCTTCTACAATGTGTTAGAGTGCTAGCGTTTAGAAGCTAGTGTAACATTGTGATGTTACGGAAGTAAACAAAGCAGTCTAATCGAGGCTTTCAGGCAGGGGTGACTGTGTTGGAGAGAAACTCCCTCGTATTTTGAATGTTATCCTTTGGAGACCATTTACATGCACAAAAACCTTGATAACACACTACAGGGAAGGGAAAACCCAAAAAACATAATAGGGTGGCTTTAAACTCAAACTTTAAACTCGTACTAAACAAACGTGCCCAGATAGATAAACACATTTCATTAAACTCATAAAATAAACTTGCACATAACTAGTTTAATCAATATACTTATAAGTTTATATAGACACTTGAATTCTTGGTTGAGTATTGAAAGAGATGTAAGCTTGAAATATTGGACGAGTACCAAAATATATGTTGTATTGTGAAGTGGATTAAGAGTTTATGCGCAGTAGATGTGAAAACCTGTTACCCCATACTGTTTAGCTGAGCAAAGCATTTTCTCTCTCAAGTTGCCGTTTGTTGGGCAACAACAATCTCGCTCAACAACAAGTTAACCTGCAGAGTTTTGAGTTGTCTGTCCTGTTAACCATGCAACATGAGACCGTTTGCCATTCACAATGTCGGCTGTTTTGAGGTTTCCCTAAGTGCCTCTAGGTGGCATCAATGTCCCTGTACAGGTTATGCTGGATAATGGATATACTCCGAGTGGAAATACCAGTTTCAACACTTAATGAGGGAAAGTAATAACCAGCAGTTGGATCACTATTTGCTCTGTAGAAAAGGACTTGCTGCGTGTTTAATGTACACTTTATATTACTGATCGTTGGATTTAAAGAGGTCTTTTGCAGATATTCTTACTCAAACACCCCACTGACATTATTTAATACAATTGTAATGCTTTTCATTAACTATTGTTTATTATACAAACAGAATCCATTCCCATTTGGCCTCATGCTCCTTCCTGATGTACAACTTTCTTCCAAAGGGTTTCAACTTGTCAGAACATTTAGGTTATATCCCAAAACTGTAATTTCAAAGAGAAAGGCTTTGGAATTTTTTATATGGCTTATCATATTTAAAGTTAGACAAGATAGGACTTGCAAATAAGTAACTGAAGAACTTTGCTGGTTCTCATGCTCAGGCCTATATTAGCCCAACCCTTTCTTCCCCTCTTCCCTCCCTCCTATCCCTTGCCAAACAGGATCTGTAGGATCTTACAGAGTCATTTTCTCAGGAGACAGGAATGTCAGAACACAAGGCCTGTTACCTGCTGGAACATGCAACCTGCATTCCCGCTAACTAACAGGAAAAAGTCCCGAACCTGTTGCTCATACGTCTATTTAATTCCGCTCAGTGTGTGGCAACAGCTTTCAGTGTAAGTGCCATGTATGCACCGGACACGTTGTAGACGCACACTGACTCACTCAAATGAGGTTGTCTGGTACATGCACATTTTTAACAACGTGTCTGTTAGTTCACAACCTTTAGGTTTAAAAAGGAGTTTTATTTGTATTTTCTGACATGCATTGCTTTTATTTCTGAATGAAAACAATCTACTTTTTAATTTTTTTCCCCAATGAAGTCGTTTTTGTGAATTTCTTTGTTTAAAAATAAAACACAGAAAGTTATTTAAAGAATTTCGAGATTTTTTATTTCATAGTATTTTTTTAAATCTCTTGGACAGCGGCTAGGCATTACAATATACAGCAGATAGGCTAGTCATGTAGACTATAAGCAACCCAAATGTTATCAGTACATAAATATAATACATCAAAATCGTGGCCTTCAGACCGTTTAAAAGACTGCCACAAAATGAAAGAAATGTTAAGGATTACTTGGGGACTGTTCAATCAACCCGCATCACCATCTACAGTATCTCAAGTATTCAGATGCTATCGACACGCAGAGGATAGAAATGTAACAAAACACAGACATCCCAAATATTGCTACATTCATCTGCATTAATGTGTCTGAAATTCGCACACACACACAGTGAGAGCACTCCTGCATCCGTTAGCTCGCCCTCTCAACACTAGCGTTGGCATTTCCATTGCTGAACAAGCAGAGCTGCACGCAGTGAAATGTTTAAAGTCACAGTTTTTTCCCCATATCACAGGTCATTTCTGGCTTTAATTAATAGACCAATGGCTGGAAGTCGGCGATGAGCTGCTGGTGGACTCTTTGCGGGACTGATTCGAGCTGTGTCTGTAGGCTGGGGAGTGAGTGACACTTGGACTGCTGGGCGGTGTGGAAGAGCAGGAGGAAGACTTGGTTTTAATCTGCAGCCACTTGTCTCCCAAAGCCTTGGCAAAGTGGTCATCCACAGACACGCTGATGGAGAGCTGCTGGGAGCGAGCTTTCGGGTAGTTCACTCCGAGGCTCCTCTGGAAATGCTCGTCAACAACATTGTCATAGCTGTATTTGGAAATCCCTGCAAGATAAGGATGAATAACAAAGTCAAATACACACCTTGGTGAGTCAAGTCAGCGGATATCCAATATGTGTGTGACGATTAGGGAGTGACCGTCTAGTGTGTGGTGGGTGAGATCATTCAAAAGAGTGTGAGACTGACCTGACGAGGGGCTCCGGTGGAGCTCAGATCTGCAGGAGGGGTTTCTTGATGAGGAGACACAAGTGATCACAGAGGGGCGCATCTGGAAAAAAAAGATCATCGATTAAACTAAAAGGGAAAGCAATTCCCTGTTTGTGTTTTCTATCACCTTAACCTGGCTGTGCACTTCATCTCACAATAACAAATAACAGTACAAAGTTCGGTTAAACTAAATCATTTCACAACCGATTAAACTGATTGGGTCTGCCCATTAAAGTCAGATCATTCCCAGTGTGGTTGCACATGCAGGTCAAAGAGAGAGCTGTCTGTTTGGTCTTGTTTATGGAATTCCTCCCTCCATTGCTCACATTTTCTTCCTGAATCCGGCTGGATTGCATAGCTAGGACAAGCTTAGGCCTGTATATACTCTTGGAAGAATGCCTGTGCAGTTGGATTCACAGACTACAGATAGGAGATGAAGCTGCAGCTAGCCTGGAGCTACACTGACACTACAAAGGGACATACAGTACTGCCCTCTTTCACAAGTAACAGCCCTTACACCCATGACCTTTGAGAAAAGCACATTGAAGGCTTTTTTTTTATACCTGGATTTGAGCGGGAGCAGAGCTTTTAGTCTTTTCCTCTGTGTTTTCTGGGTCTCTTCTTGGTTTCTTGATGAGGGCAAGTGGTTCATCCATGATTGGTTCATAGTACATATGGGATGGCAGAGAGCTGGTGGGGCTGGGTGTTGGACTCCAGGTAGATGTGGGGCTTTGAGGCCTGTTGAACATCACTGGTGCTGGTGCTGCTCTGTGGACAGCTTTAGCATTGCTTCTGCCCAGTACCCGCTCCCGTCTGAAACATGATTTCATCAGGAAATGTTAGATATACTTTGATAGCAGTAGCATGTAGTGAATTCTAATTTTAATATTGAATTGGACAAAAACACATTTTTCACCAACCTTTCTTCCAACGTCAGACCCCTCTCGTAGCTGTGCTTGCGTTTGACTGGATGCACTGTTGGGGCGCGGGCCCGGTCATTTGCGATATGTCTGTGTCTGTCTTCACTCCTGAGATTGGGCTGACCTGAAAAACATAAAGAAAGTGCAGAGTTAGGATAAGAGGGTTTGGATATGGCTTATTTGCCAAAAGGAAATTCAAAATAAGATGATCATTTACTGGCATTGAGGATTTTACTACACTGATGATGCTGTATGATGAGTAACTGCTTGTCTTGATCCATGACATCAACCTGCATGACTGCTTTTCGTGGGAAATGTTTTTTTTTTTTACCAACGTTAATTGTAAACTCCGTTAAGTTGTAGAACCCGATCTACCTGATATGCGAGGTTGCAACTGTACACAACTGATTCATTGCTAACGGTAAATGTTGTTTTTCTGCATAATGTTGGCATTCAGCCCTATCAAAGCGCCAAAAGGGCACAATCAACAGCTTTTGTTAGTTCAGAGTGCCACACTTCCAACAGCTTTTGGCCTCTGACGACCCTGTTTCGGGCGGCACCCATAAGTGAAAGGGCCCACAAAGTACACACATTAGATTTAGCTGGTGCTTTTATCCAAAGACTGGATTTTGCAACTACACAAGTTCCAACACATCTACACGAGCTGGTGATATCATTGATGTGTGAAAGAAGAGAAATGCAATGTATATTGAGATTGCCAATCAGACCCACAAAATGATTTCTTGATGTTTATAAGGGAACATCACTTATTATATTTAATCCAAGCAATAAGATAAATAATGTTTTGCTCTTTGGGCTCTTCTCTCAAGTATTTAACATGTGCGTAGTCAGCTCAGTTGTTCAAAACTGGCCTGCATACAGACAAAACACAAAGCATTGTTTGGAAATGTAATGGCAGCATAATTAGACTGCAGCCTTTTGTTCGACTGTATGCTCACTTAGCACTTGAAAATCAACATTCATGTGGCGGCGGGAGTCCTTCAAATGGTCTTTTAACTGTATTCAAATGAATCATTCAAAGCGTGTACAGAAGTCAAAATAACATATTTTGAAATCACACAATGAGGTGATTTGACTGGTGTGTTTTGAATTGCAAGACAATGAAAGTTGTCCACTGTCTTTAAACTCACTCCAACCCGCATATCCTACTGGCTGAGCACTTCAACACCTGTGAGCTACTCCTTCATACAGAGTGCCATTGTAGAGGGAGGAGGGGGGGCAGGTATAACCACACCTATGCTGATTTTCTAATGCCCCGGGCATGGATATTTCTTTCTTGTTAGAAGAGGGAATATGGTGCCTGACCTTCCGTTTGGATATGTTTACTTAGATGTTACTGATATCCATCAAAGTCCTGAGTGGCAACACAATTTATAGAAACGTAGTTTAATATTGAGGCCATTGAAAGCCAATACGTATTGAAAGAGGTTCATTAACTATTTGTTTTTAATACATTTACTTTATGTTACCCACATATTTGTATTTAAGACAAACAAGCTATATTATACAATACAAATACATGAAGTGTATCAGCAAAGTTTGTGTATACCTTCCATGGGATTGTGTGATTCAAATCTGATTACTTTATATTTGATACTGAATCAACATATATATCATGCATAAAACAAAAGTCACTGCTTCTCTAATGAACATGTAGATAAAAGGTTGAGGCATGACATACATAACAAAAATGATATGCATAGAAATATTGTAGCAAAACCACAGCTTAGACTTGATTTCCCTACCATGGTAAAACAATTAGTATCAAGCAACATGAGGCAATAAAATATTCAAACATACCTTCTAAAATGTAGACCTTGAAGCCACTGCTCATCCGGGTGATGTACTGGAAGTTAGCCACAGCCATGGCTACTTGCCTTTGTTCAAAAAAAGCAAAAAACTGAGAAACACCTTGACTGCTGGAGCTTACAGGACACAATGAGCCTCAGTAGATTGTATTGAGAAAGTAATGAGATGCTGGGTCTGAGTTCAGCCAGGTAAAGTATCAGGTGAGTGCAGATAGGTGCAGTGGCTTCCCTGTGACTCACTCCTTGCATTCAGATTGGCTGCTGTCTGGACTAATCAGAGGCCCTCATTCACTCAGGCTTGTTGTTGTCCTACAACAATGAGCTCACAGGTAAAGGTAAAAAGTGGATTTCTAAATGTCATACTGCCATAGAATCCACCCTGATTATAGGAGATTTGCTGTATTCAACTCTTTATTTTGTACAGTAATACACATCTTTGGTCATAAATCTTTTTTTAAATATTTTCTCGAGCCATGAAGAAAATGAAGTGTGTCTTTTGTTTCTCTTCATGGAATCACCACCTGTCCCCCTCACCTCCCCCCTAATCTGCAATCTCACCAAACTGCATTTTTTCGAGCCCTTAGCCCACCGGAGCTCCAGTCATTCCTCTGGCCTGCCCATACACGCACGCAGCTGTACTATGTGTCTGCCTCGCCAGTAATCCAAAGGCTTTTGTTGATGGCCAGACAAAGACTCCTAAGTCCTGAAAATGCTGCTGCCATGAGAACAATCTCGTCTGAGTATACTGAGGAGTTTGGCCACAAGAAGAAAGTCTTTGGAGGCCACTCACCCAGATACTGTGTGGCATTGGTACTGCTCAAAATCATAAGGGGGGTAATTAATGTGTGGATATATGTTGGCAAATATGAAATTAGTGCAATGAGAATACATTAAAATGATACTCTGCTGCCCTGTGCCCTGATATAGGCTGATATATTAGCTTGTTTCTACACATCTAATACTGATTTTTAGGTGATAGGATGATGGTTTAAAAATAAAGAAATCTACACAAATAAAATACTTGCTGTTAACACATGCATGACATATGGTGTTGAGCTCAATATTAGCTCAACACTGCCCCCCTAAGTCATAGGACACAGTGCAATAAAGTGGCATCAAACCTCACATTAAGGTACTGCAAATCAAATCCCAAACGTGCTGTTGACGTTTTGAACATCACGTTTGCTCAATGGCACATTCCAGTCAGTGAAAACAAACTTAAAATGCTAAGTATTTGGGTTTAAATGAATGGAATCCGTTCGATCGTGTTCTTCTAGTTTTGTAGCATTCATTATCCACATGCCAGCGCCTCACATACGTAGGTAAGAAGGTACTCTTTCGCTTGATTCACTTCTTTTTAACAGCAAATTGTCCTTCTCCTTCACTGCAATGAAAATAATCCAGGTTGGAATTTGGATAATCCTACTTTAATTTTATTTAATTGTCAATAGAATATGAGTCCACTTAATTTAATTGGTAGTTTTATTAGTGTATCAAATCTGTCTAAAACCAAATGTTAAGACAATCCCCTACGTAATACTGCAGCAATAGCAGACATTTCTTTAAAATTAAGCCCAGTACCAAGTTAATAATTAAGTATATATATATTGAGTAAATCAATTCATATAAAATGATAGGGATTAAAAAGAATGCTGATATTTTTCTTTTAAATTGGGACCCAAATCACAAGGGTGATTATACTGTACATTTTTGTATTTATATTGCTAACCGTAAAATTATTATATTAAATGTGAATCAACAAATCATTTAAAACACTTGGCTTTATAGATATTAGCACTGCTCTTTGTAGGAGGTATTCCAATTACTGTCTACATTCACAGTGGGAACAACTGAAACATGTTTAGAAATTAATAAATCCATTGCTGAAATGGCAGCGAATTTTGGTCTGCAGTTACAAAGGTCATATGACCCACTGCAATAACATGCCTTCAAAACCCACACTAGGGTGCCGCATACAAGTTTGAAAAAATATCAAGAATGCCATTGTGCTGTTGAAGTTTAAAACCTCTGGTTTGCTCATTCACACGTTCCATGCAGCGTCAACAGTGGAAACATGCAAAGTATTTGGGTGCCACATCAATAGAATCTGTGCAATCGTGTTCATCTACTTTTGTAGCATTCATTTTCCTCATACCAGCGCCTCAAATAGCATTTTCACTTAGTACACTTTCATACTAGCTAAATTGACATTCTCTCTCAAGGCAGAATAAATAGTCCAGTTTGTAATTTGAATGAGCTAAATTCATTTTATTAAATATTAGTGTACTAAATATGATTGGTGTATTTTGTTTTATTACACAGGAAATAGTACTTTGTCAAACCAAATGTTAACCGCATAAACATGTATTACACTGCCTGAAATATATGTTTATTGCTATTTGAGTGAGGTGTTCCAATATATTCAAAATAATAACAAATCTATTGCGGAAATGGCAGCAACTTTGTACTAAATATTAAAAGATGTAGGCTCCATCTATCATTAAAAATCATTTAATTGATTGAATAATAAACAGATCAGTTTGATCAACAGTCCCAAATAAACAATTGTCTTATCAACACATATTTAACCCTTGTGCCCTCCTCGAATTTTCAACCTTTCGACCCCTTCGTGGCAAAAATGTACACGCCCATAATAACTGCTACTAAATCATCATACATCAACATTTCTTTCTACGTTTTTTTTCATGAATCACTTAAACAACTTATAACGTACTCAAAACTACCGAACATTCAATAATTTTCTGGATTTTAACCCTTTAAATGCCTGTTTAATTATTTGAATTATTTCATTATTTATGACAAAAAACACAAAAAATGAATTTTTTTCAATATAATAATTAGTAGAGGGATGGAACTTTGGTGGTTACTAGAGTCTTGGATGTGTCAAAGATTAGCAACAAAATTGATTTCACTGCATTATTATTTTGTACGTAGTGTCAGATACTACCTTTGGACCCCTTCGTGGCAAAAATGTACACGCCCATAATAACTGCTATTAAATCATCATACATCAACATTTCTTTCTACTTTTTTTTTCATGAATCACTTAAACAACTTATAACGTACTCAAAACTAGCAAACATTCAATAATTTTCAGGATTTTAACCCTTTAAATGCCTGTTTAATTATTTGAATTATTTCATTATTTATTACAAAAAAACACAAAAAATGAATTTCTTTCAATATAATAATTAGTAGAGGGATGGAACTTTGGTGGTTATTAGAGTCTGGGATGCGTCAAAGATTAGCAACAAAATTGATTTGACTGCATTATTATTTTTTACGTAGTATCAGATACTACCTCTGGACACCTTCGTGGCAAAAATGTACACGCCCATAATAACTTCTATTAAATCATCATACATCAATATCTTTTTCTACTTTTTTTTCATGAATCACATAAACAACTTCTAACGTACTCAAAACTACCATTTTCGGTTTCGATTTTAACCCTTTAAACGCCAGTTTAATTATTTTCATTATTTCATTTATCTAAAAAATGCCTCATTGACTTCCATTCAGACCACATTTGTTGATCTCATTGCCATTGCAGTATAAAACCATGCATTTTGTAATGTCAGCATTTCATTTAGAAGAAAAGTAGTGATATTTGATATTTCTACACTCAAAAAACTAAATCATTGGCTTTGTAGATATCACAATAATAAAAAGCTATATTACCTTAATAAAATCTCTAAATATCACCAAAGTAATTGTTTGAGTCGGACATACCAAAATAAATGCTTACAAATCCAACAGTTAATTTTGTCTTAAATTATTACTATCATTTAAGTTGATGGCACGAAAATAAATGAGTATTTGACTAACAAATTATATTTTTAAGATATCCTTAATATCTTTGGCAAATTTCAGTCAAAATATTTGAGAATTGGCTAATTATACTGATCAGTTTCAGGAACAGCAATTATTACTCATTCCAAATCAATATTCTTCATCTTTAACAACAACTTAAGAAATTGAGTAAATTACACTAAAACGTCATGAGTGGACCCCATTAACAATCGCGCGCAAATGCAGTGTGCTCATGGGAAATCTACTTTTCTATCTGCGCCACATGTGGCAACTGGAAACACCACGACGAGAACCACCAGGAAAACTCCCTGCAAATCCTGGTAAGTAGCCAGCTAGCAAAAGTTAATGAAATATTGACCCTGACTTTGTGCATATACAACTTTATGGTGTGTAATTATCTAAATACTGTCACACTTGCAGCCATGCTGTCATAGGTCTAGCTAGTTCTCTGTCCGCTTCTACACACGCATGGTGGACACAGTCAACCAGGTGAAGTGAAGCTAACGTTTTACTCAAGTAAAAAGTAGAAACATTAGCACCTGCTTTGTCCGCAGTTGTTGTCTTAAGTACCTAATCAACCAGCTGTCTGTATGTAGCATAGTTAGCTGTTTGTTTTAAGCCCCTTTTACACTGTTATTCAGCAATGCTGTAGTAAAGAAGATCCGCCATTACGTCGACTTTTTAATACTTAACCAGACAATGCCAGCATAATGCTGCCCCAGTGTGTGATATTAGACAGCATGCCGGCCTGACTTGTAACACAACAGCGCCGGCGAATATGTGTGTCTGCATGTCCCGCCATGCCGGAATAACGGAGCAACAGTCTCGCCTTGAACAGGCTGTGAAGGGGGCTTTGCCGCCACACCCGGTTACTAAGCAACGCTTATCGTTTAGGTATCCCTGATAAGGAGGCAGTCATATCATTAACTAAAACTAGCTAGATCTGATCGATATGGACATAAACACGAGTGAAGTATAATCGGGAGAGTGATCAGGTTCTGCAAACTGAGACACGCAGCTCTGCATGATCACCTGCAGCTCTGCCGCTGTGAGGGGACCGGTGAGCAGAGCACACGCTTCAAGTTAGACCTAACACATTTAGCAATCTTATCTACCTCTGGAAGTAACCGAACTAGTTATAAATATGTTTATTCTTTACTTTTGGGTCACTCATTACTGGATTAGCGAGCTGCATGAGACTAAACTGACGGGCTGTCAGGAGAGGGAGAGAGGAAAAGAGAGTACCCTGTTTATTTCTCCCGTGTTATTATCCAAAGTTACTGTACATTTTTGAATAATGTAGTTAATCTACTATTAGTTGTTTGTGTAAATGTATTACTT